GTTAGTGGATTTGAGTGTGCTTGCTGAAGCTTAAACACATCTGGAATGTCTCTTGCTTGGAAGCAAAGGCAGGAATCTTCTAGCTCCTGTCTCTGTCATTCCCAGTGAAAACCAACAGGTTTGTTGTGCTGTGTCTAGTACCCACCTGGGTTTTCAGGCTGTTGAAAAGTTGAATATGTGGGTTGATACAAAGCTCTGTGTGACAGCAGCACCTGCATGAGTTGTGCACCTTCTTACTGCAGCTGGCTGGGCAGGGGATGCCAGAGCTGAGAGCCTTGTAGCTTCTCTGTCCAGTGGATTACTGGGGCAATTGCTTGGGGGTAAGGTACATTTGGGCTAGGTGTTCCTAGCACTTCAACTTGTAAAATTCACAATATCAGTGTGATACCAGTCAACACAGAGGGATGAGCCTGTGTTCAGAGTTCCTCATGCTACTGAGAAATAAAGTAGTTTGAGGGCAGTGAGTGTATGAGAACAGAAGGAGATTTTGAGGGAGGTGAGGGTCCTTCAGACTTTTATTTATCCATTGTAAAGAAACATATGAAAGTAAACAGAAATCAATTTTCTGAAAACCCCTCCCAGGTCACCTGCAAGGGAAATAATGTGACACTGCTGAATGCCAGGCACTGCAGATTTTGTCAAGACATAAAGAATCCTGGTGCTTTATTTTTATTTTTGAAGTGAAAGTGGTTCACAAGGTACACCAAGGAGATGATTCAGTGCTTGCAGTTGTGACATGTCAGAGGCTTGTAAGCTCAAAGACAACTGTCTTTATTGTGTTTGCCTTTTCATCTTCCAAACTTTGAGCCCCTGTGTTCCTATCATTTTCCCTTTCCGATGTGAAATAAGGAGCATATTCTAAACAATGGTGCTCTTTTGATACATGCCATAATAAAGAAACACTGACTCAGAGAACAGCAGATCTGAGCTGTCCACAAAGAAGTACAGAGAGGTGCAAATCCTTTTGGCATGGCACCACAGCAGTTGTTCCTGGTGGCTGATGGAAAGCCAACAATTATTTTTCTCTTCTAACAAAACAGGGACAAAGGAGCTTCCTTTAGCAGCCCATCTCTGCCCTAATTTACGTTGCAGCTTTTTAGGGAAAGGAGCAAAAGTCATTTTAGGAGCTATTGAAAGACATCTTCCTCTTTTGTAGCTCCTGTATGTTTTTGGCAAGCGAAGCCGAATACATTTGTGGGGCACATCAATGGCAGCAGCCTGGAAAGGGTTCGGGAAGGGCCGAATCACCTCCTCGGTGTGGCACAGCTGCCCCGGGGACACGAGGGAGGGGTGTCCGGGGCTGGCCCCGCACAGAGGTGGGGATGAGCCCGGGGCCGGTGGGGATGAGGCCGGGGC